ATGCTGGTGGAGGCGGTGGCGGGGTGTGCGAGGCAGGAGGGAGAAAGGCGGGGGGACTCACAGGGGCTTTGTTACTCCCCAGGTCGCCGATCTCCAATGCAGAGGATGAGGAGGATGAGCAAGGGCACCATAATTCCACCAGCAGCATCCTTCCGTGCCCCGGCCGGGGGCCGCCGCCTGCCCTGGGAGGTGACTCGCCGTCCCCTGGGAGCCCGGGGACAGCGCCCCGCCCTGCAATAAACTCCTGGAACCGCTCCCGTCTCGCCTGCTCATCAGCCGGGAGCTGCAGCCGAGGGCTTTGGGGCGAGGGGCTGCGCTGGGGCCGGGGTGAGGGGCCTGGGCTGCTCTGAGCCCTGGTAGCTCCTTGTCTTCCCCCATCTCCAGGGGCCCCACCTGGGCCATCGGGAATCCCAAAGGCCCCTTTGTCCCAGCCAGGCCCCACCTTGGAGGAATTACTGTGGGTTTTGGCAAACATCAGAACTGCCTTTGCCCGCGTTGTGACTTGGGGTTTGGGGAGACAGTGTCACACCAGGAGGGCTTTGCTGAAGGCACCTTCTCCCCGGGGTGGGGCTGGGGATGCCTGGGGTGGGTGCAGGGCTGGGGCAGGCAGATACACCTCTGGTTTGCCCCCAGGCACAGCACCTGCCCTGCCCCTGCTGGCCTGCCCGGGGTTCTTTACTGGTTCTGATGGGGTACTTTTGTTTAATTATGACCGGGAAGGGGGATGAAATAAACCCTCATTCCAAGAGTTGTAAGCGCCCTGCACAGATCGTGGTTGGCTGGGGACACGAGCTGGGAAGTGGCTGACACCTCCCCAGGGAAGATGGGGCACGTCCGTGACTCTTCTGGGAGCAGAGGAGCTTCCTCGGGCTCTAGATGCAGACGGGGGGATTTTCACCAGCTGTACATGTAGGTGTACCAAACACCTACCGAACCCACCGCGGCCGCTCTCTGGCAGGGCGGGGCCGGGTCTATAAATAGCGCGGGCAAGGTCGACTCTGTAATTACCCCCAGTCTCTGTAATTACCCTGCGGTGGGGCCGGGCCCGGGCCCGGCGGGTCGATGCGCAGCTGCGGCCCCGGAGCGGTGAGTGTGGGGCCGGGGAGCGGAGCCTGTCGGCTCTTTTCTCCTTCTCTCTCTCCAGGCTGCCGGGGAATAAAGCCCAGGGACCCCGTCCGCTCTCTCCGGGACTGCATTTTGCAGTCCTGAAACCCAGCTCGTCTGGCCCACAGAAAAAGAGACTTATGTCCTGCGTGGTTGGGACTCAAAACGTGGCTCATGTTGCTAGTGCTAGAATCAAGAAACAGAGACTAAGTCCTGCTTGTTGGGGGCTTGAAAGCAGAGTCACCTGGTCAGTGTTCTGGGCTCACAAAGAGAGACTAAGTCTGTAGAATGCAGATTCTACAGGCAGGACACCAGAGTTGTCTGGCGGGCTCAGGAACAGACACCAAGTCCTGCATTCTACAGAGTGCAGCCAGGCTCACTGGGGATATGGGATATGGTAGATCCATTCAATACCATGCTCTTTAGCCCAGTTAGTGACAAGACTGTTTTTGAAATGAGTCCCATTGTCTGACTCAATTCTCTCTGGAGTACCATGTCTCCACAAAATTTGCTTCTCAAGGCCCAGGATAGTATTCCTGGCTGTGGCATGAGGCACAGGGTATGTCTCCAACCATCCTGTACTTGTTTCCACCATTGTAAGCACATAGCGCTTACCCTGGCGGCTCTGAGGCAGTGTGATGTAGTCAATTTGCCAGGCCACTCCAAACCTGTACTTTGACCACCTCCCCTCATACCACAAAGGTTTCAACCGTTTTGCCTGCTTAATTGCAGCACATGTCTCACAGTCGTGGATCACCTGTGCAATAGTGTCCATGGTTAAGTCCACCCCTCGGTCACGAGCCCATTTGTAAGTTGCATCTCTGCCCTGATGACCTGAAGCAGCATGGGCCCATCAAGCCAGGAAAAGCTCACCCTTGTGTTCCCAGTCTAAGTCTACTTGGAACACTTGAGCAGCCTCATCTGCTCGTTGGTTGTGTCGATGTTCCTCAGTGGCTTGATTCAGAGGCACGTGTGCATCCACATGACGCACTTTTACCTCCAGTTTCTCCATCCGAGCTGCAATGTCTTTCCACA